TGTTTTTGTCCAACATAGGCTTCTTTGTGCTGACATGAACATAAGATTTGATGTCTACTCGCCGGTCCCTTATCCATGACTGGATCTCCTGATTAATTTGATAAGGTTACGATAAAAGACCTTCACATTAATCAGGAACGAACACCAGCATAATTACCTGCCACTGTGCCTATTTGTGATAGCAAGAGAGCAATGTTTTTCTTCCATCCTTGCAACCATCTGTAACTCCATTTTCTCCTTACTGTAGGGAGAAACAATGGTTGTCTTTCCAATGTGAGCTATTGGCAATCTCGTGTTATTTGTTGTGACTACAACATGACCTCCATCATAATTTGATACATCCGATAATTTCTCCATGTTTCCTGTCATGTGATTAGAACTTCCAGAATCAACTATCCAATCATCATCATAGTTGATTCTATCACTTACAGATATTAATGATGACTCCTGCTCGGATCCTTTCTTCCTCATCTCTACTGGCTTTTGTAGAGAATATTCTTCCTCCTGAACAAAGAAACTGTGAATATCCCATTCCTCTTCACTTTGTTGCTCGTTCTGGGTTGAGTTGCTCGTTATGGGTTGATGCTGTGTTTCCTTCTACTCGTCTGCTTCGACATTCTCGGATGAAATGTCCTCTTTTGTTGCACTTATAGCAACGATCACTTTCTCTCCAATCGTCTTTCCTTTGTTCTGGCCTTGCTCTCCCTTGCTGTGATGGTCTCCACTTTTGCTTTCTCCATCCTTGTTGATTGCTCCTTTCTTTCCACCATCTACGCTCGCTACTTTCGTAAATCCCATCTTTTAGTAAAGAGAGGCTTTCCTCAATCATCCTCAAGGCACTTTAGACTATATTTTTTTTCGTCTAAATCTCCTTCATTGGACAAGATGATTCTCTAACTCGTGCTAAGGTTTGGTTGTGTACCCAGACCGACGAGTAGCAGTCACATAGACCGCTTAAAATTCAGGTCTTAGACCCATGGATATGATCCTCCTCATCCTTTGTCTCGTTGATCTCGTATCTGGATCTAAATTTCGAAAATTCTCCTCACATAAAGATTAACTTTAGAAAAGTATGGACTTACAGTGAGGTTTTTGTTTCGAGATTGAGAATAACTCATTGTTCCGAGTCTGCATTGCCTTCATTCTTCTTGGCGAAAAGCAACTTGAAGGATAATCCCACGCTTCCTTTGGTGTTTTAGGCCACTTGATCCGTTGCATCTGGCTCATCTCTACTGCAACTGTCACCAACATACATCGCCTCTCCCCGCATTTTGTCCTCCACTCTTTCCAGATGCTTTCGCATCCCCATACTGGTGGGTAGTATAATCTCCTCCGAACGATATCCCATAAGTTCCTTGACTCATGAGATAAGTATCTCATACGGGTAACTCCAGTTCCGTAATTGTTGCCTAATTAGCTTCTCGATGCTATTGTAGTCCAGAAAAATCTGCCATAAGGTACTGGTGTTCCTAACACTAACCAATGCACGATGGTCCTTGACCAATCACGATCACAATCCTTGCTTGTGAATTTGGTTGCTTCAACAACAGTCCCCGACTGTTAATTCCAGCAGAGTAACAATACCCTGCACTTGTAAATGAACATCACAAAATACCACGGCTACAACAACGACCACCACAACCAGGCTCTGATACCACTTGTTAGAATTAATGCTCTGATACCACTTGTTGGATATAAGTGTAGTGATAAACTCCAAGATTGATTAATAATTTATAACACCAAGAATAATAACGGGAAAAACACCAAGGAATACAAATAACGGGAAAAGGCCACCAAAATAATACTAACACAAAACACCAAATATAATTGTATTATAGGAAGCAAAACATTTCACAAAGCTTTAAGGAAAGATTTACTTACTTGGTTTTTGCTTGGTGCGTGCTTGGTTTGCTTTGCTTCCTTACAAAATGACGGGTGAAGGGGTGGTATTTTCTAATAGGCAATTTCCACCTCCTCAATGTACGGCTAAGAATTTTGTCTACAAAAAATGGACGACTTTAGATTACATGGAGAATTCTAGAACTATGTTGACATTATACAAAAATATCTTTTAAGTGGAGTATGTCAGAGTAAATTCCTAGAATATGGGCTTGGACCTCCAACTTTTTTGGGCTTAAAGGTTCCAATCTTTGAGGCTTGAAGCCCTTGCCCAAAGTATTTAACTTACTTATGGTAGCCATTTTAAATGGTTGGACCTCCAACTTTGGGCTTAAGGTTTCCATCTTTGAGCTTGAAGCTTGCCAAGTATTTAACTTATTATGGTAGCCCATTTTAGTGGTTGTCTTTTCTTAATTAATCGTTGATATTTTAATGTATATATCGTTTTCTTCTGGTCAACTTGGGGAACCTCCTCTGCAAGGATCGTAGGCATTACAAGGCCTGACAATTTTCATTTCCTTCCCAAGACAAGAACCATATTTAATTCCTTCACTGCAAAATGCTTGTTTATTTAATGCTGGATAAGTAATATAATTATTCTGTTGAAGAAGAATCTGGCTCACATTGGGTTCCATCAAGTGCTCTTAGTCTGCAATGAATTCGGGCATATCATTATTCCAAGATCCAGTGATTGTTCTACGGGTTAAAATTGCAGCTTTGGTTGTTGAAGCATTGGTGCAGATGATCAGTATCATTAGCAGAACAGGTAAAGACAATTCGACAGACCCCAGTTTCATTTCAGCTGATCTCTTTTTTTCTTTTTTGCCTTAATTACTCCCTATATGGAATTATATCAGTGTGACTCTTATTTGGCTGAAGCCTAAAAGTTGTGGTCGTCATTGTGGTCCCTCCGCTCTCGCATATCCATTCATCATTTTTCTCTTTTAATACAATTTGATGAGCTTGAAATTCACCTATTTCTTTTATTTTTCCATTTTCAAAGCCATTGCAGATTTCTGTATAAAGTTAATTGGTTGAGTGATGCTTAAATGAAGTCCTGCATGTGTAAGCATTCACGCTTTTGGTTGGATAGATTCAGTAACAAGAAATCAATTTGTCTGTCCAGCTTTTAATAACTTCTCTCTCCTTACACCATCAGATTCTTTATAAATTTGTACTTTAAAATTGCAAAAAATAAAAAAAGGACAGAGGACGGACTAAACTAAACTAAACTAAAGCTTTGTTGGTACATTTTTGCCTTATTTAATTATAGGGTATCTAAATAACAGTGATGCAAATAACACTGATGCATAGTTACATAAATTAAACATAAGCATATGTTTTCATAAATCAGAACAATAAAATAGGTATTATATGATTGGAACCTGCTGATGTTTTCTTCTGGTCAAATTCATCTAATGTCTGCACCTATCGTAGTTGGTGCACATGCGCATACTTTCCCCGGGTTGGGAGGGCAATTATTATATGGTTTTTCGCTGCAAATTGGTTGTCTTTCTCTTACTACTTGCGGAGTAATATGAAGCGTGTTAGAGGCTTGAAGAAGCCTCTGGCTCACACCGGATTCCATCAAGAGCTCTTCTTCTGCAATGGATTCAGTGATACCATAATTCCATGGTTCACTGATTGTTTTACGGGTAAAAATTGCTACTTTGCCCGTTGATGTATTTGTGCAGATGATCAAAATTATTAGCAGAACGGATAAAGACAACGCATTATGCCCTCCTTTCATTTCAGCTGACCTGTTCTGCCTTTTTGCCTAAATTTCTCTCTTTATGGAGTTTTATGAGATACTTGTTGCTTGGCTGAAGGCTGAAGCCTAAAAATTGTGGTCGTCTTTATATATGGATGCAATAGGGGAAATCCCCTTTAGACCACTGAACGATGCATAGGGAAATCCCCTTTAGACCACTGACTTACCTGGTTTGGTCCATCTGAAGGACTTACAATTTTTATTGGATCCAATTAGATTCCCTTCAATTCCCCCTTTTGTACAATAAAAAAAAAAAAAAAAAAAAAAAAAAAAAAAAAAAAAAAATCTTATTTTTAATTGTCATAAAAAAGTGAAATATTTGGTCAGGGCCCACTGAAGAAAATATGGACCACAATTATATGTTCCCCTAGATTTTAATTAAATAAATAATTGAAAGTAAAAAAAATACATTCACGTTTTAAATTTAAAAAAAAAATTGATGCCTTTTATGTTTAAAACTTTATTCATATTTTAAATTTAACTAGTCAGTTTTATTTAGTTATTATTATAAACAAGTGTCTATCTAAAGTGAGCATATAATTACGTTCGTAAAATGAGTCTGACTAATGTTTAAGAATTGATTTTTTGGATGAACAGATCCAAAAGTGACTTTGAACAAAACTTAAGGACTTTATAATGATTTCTCATAAGCATTTGTCAATATTAAGATGTAGGAAAGTTTTATCTAGACCGGGCTATAATTCTACGCATATATCAAAGCAACAAGAATAAAGTTTTTTATTGAAATGATGTTATTTTTTACCATATATATATAAAAAAAAAAAGATAAAGCAAGTAATTTCCTTAAAATATATAGGTAATCTCCATACATATAAATTGAAACCAAAATCACGTTTATGGTGGATGAATTTGAATCCAAATTGTGCTAACTACGAACTATATATATATAATTAGAACTATTGCACATCATCAAATTGGTTAAAATAATAATTAGCTAGGACTAAAGCTAAGAACTGGCACCAGTGTGGAAAATTGCTTTAACCAAATGGATAAAGTTGAAAGTCCCCAACTATATAACGAAGAACAAGTCTACTTTGGAACCAGACGATATTGAAGGTAATGTATTTTATAACATCAGTACATTCAAGTGAATCACATATTTTAAGTAGGAAATTATTTGTCTAGACCGGGTCTATAGTCACATTTACATACTAAATCAATGACAATAAGAATTTTTTTAAAAGTGTTCCGACTTTATCATTTTTTTTCTAATTCATGGTCAAAAATACCTTCATTTCAATAAGAAATTTTATTTTTATTAGTTTAGTCAAGTAGCGAGGCCATAGACTCGGTCTAAGTAAATTTTCCCCGCCTACGTCTCCCTTTAGGGTTCATTTCGAACTCATTCTCCCTGCGCATTAATTATTTCTGAAAAACCTGATTTCACTTCATCAGAGTCGTTCTTTGGTACTAATTGTGCTCCTTGAATCACTAATCGGTCCACCTGAGAATGTAAATATATCATCATCATCAATGGTAGCGACCTCCTTATATGGCATAGATGATTCTTTCTGGTTCTCACTGACAATATCACTTGCATGGGAATTTTTCTCAGCAAATTCTTGAAGCTGCAATGCAAATTCAAGAAGCGACCCTCCTTAATATGGCAATTAGATATTCTTTTCTGGTTCCTCACTGACAATACACTTGCAAATGGGAATTTTTCTCAGCAAATGAATTTTTCTCAGCAAATTCTTGAAGCTGCAATGCAAATTCAAGGCTCCATATCACATCACACATTTTTGGCCTTTCAGTTGCTTTTTCACGCACACAACTTTCAGCGATCTCCACAAACTTGTTTAAAGAGACAGATGTGATATCACCATTCAACTGCGGGTCAATAATCTGATCAAGAGTTCCTTTCCGACAACATTTTCTTGTCCACTCAACCAAGTTCACTTGTTCTTTGTTTAGGTTTGACATGATTGGTGGCCGGGCGCACAGTACTTCTAACAACACTACCCCAAATGAGTAGACATCAGATTTCTCAGTGAGGTGTTGCCTGCGATAGTACTCGGGGTCAAGGTAGCCTACACTACCTCTAACGGTAGCCTACACTACCTCTAACGACAGTGCTGACATGGGTTTCGTCTTCACTGGTGGGACCTGTTTTTGACAAGCCAAAATCTGAAACCTTGGCCACCCAATTCCTGCCCAATAGTATGTTTGATGACTTCACATCACGGTGGATGATGGTGTGTTTTACGCCTGTATGAAGATAATGTAACCCTTTTGTAGCTCCTATACATATTTGTAGTCTTTGCTTCCATGGGAGAGGAGGGTTATTTGTTCTGTATAGATGATCTTAAAGGCTCCCATGCGGCATGTACTCGTATACAAGGATCATCTCATCTTGATCATCGCAGTATCCAACCAAAGAGACGAGATGAATGTGTCTGAGCCTGGACAACATCTCAATCTCTGTGTGGAACTCGCGAGTCCCCTGTTTTGACGATGAATTTAGCCTTTTTATTGCAACTGGGATGAATTCATTTTGAATATAGCCTTTATGCACAGTACCAAAACCTCCAGAGCCAATAATGTTCTGATCTTCGAAATTTCTTGTAGCTGCTTTGATTTCAGCCGTTGTAAATCGATGGCAAAGATCAGTTGGCAGTGACATACCAAAACCATCAGTATCATTTGCTTTCCTTTTTGTTCCTTTCCCTTTTCGTTTGTAGATAAAGAAAAATAGAACAACAGAAAAAGCAAATATTGTTGGTTAATTAAGATAACTAAGAAACCAAAAGCACAGAAGAGAAAGTGGAGCTGTATATTGCATATTAATGAAGAAAAGAACAGAGCCTTTTATAGGCATTACATAACCTTTTATAGGCATTACATAACAACTGAACAGAAAAATAGCCTCAAAAATCTGCAACTAATCTATAGCAGATAATCTTTTATTTCCCACTGCTAACAGTAACATAAATCTAGGAACTAAATCAGCAACTAAAGGCTCCACTAACTCCACTCTAAACTTTAATTTGAATCAAATCTTAACATGCCCTCTATGATTCAAAATCAACACAAGAGCCCAATCGTTGCCCAATTGTTGTCCAAAATAAACATGTTTCAGCTGAGATAGAGATTTAGTAAATAAGTCTGCAACTTGATCATTTGTACCACAAAATTCCAACTCTATTTTTCCATTTGCTACCAACCTTCGAATGAAATGGTGCCGAGTTTCAATGTGCTTTGTTCTGCTGTTGAAAGCTGGATTCTTTGCCATTGCTATTGTGCCTTTGTTGTCACAATAGATTTTAGTTGCTGCCACTTGCTCTTGGCCCAAATCAACCAAAACTCGCCTAAGCCACACTGCTTCACATGCTGCAGAAGTTGCAGCAATATACTCTGCTTCCGAAGACGACAGAGCAATAGTATCCTGCTTCTTTGAGCTCCATGAGATGGCACCTGAACCAAGACTGAAATTGTAACCTGAGGTACTTCTTCTATCATCCAAAGAGCCAGCCCAATCACTGTCAGTATAGCCAAATAATCTGAAATTTGAGACTGTGGTGTACCATATTCCAAATTCAACAGTTCCAGCAACATATCGCAAAACCCTTTTTTTAGCTCCAAGATTGTGCTTTGTTGGACTATGCATAAATCTGGATAAGACACTAACAGAAAATGCGATGTCAGGCCGTGTATGAGATAAATAATTCAGTCCACCAATCATTCTCCGAAAATAAGTTGCATCAGCTTTTTCTGTCCCATCTTCAGCTTGTAATTTTTCATTTAAATTCATTGGAGTTGAAGCCACTTTGCAATTCACCATGCTGAATTTTTTTAGCAAATCACTTGCATATTTTTGTTGTCCAACAAAAACTCCATCTGCACATTGTTTCACCTCAAGTCCAAGAAAGTATTGCAGTAACCCCAAATCTGTCATCTCAAATCTTCTCATCATACCATCAGTCAAAGAAAGTAGTTGCATGTAACCCGCAAATCTGTCATCTCAATCTTCTCATCATAAAAGATTTTCATAGAAGATTTAAAGTCAGCAATAAGACATTCATTGGACCCAAAATAAATCATGTCATCAACGTAAACACAAACAACAAGAAATCCAGCTTTGACTTCTTTTTTCAAATATAAAGTGGGCTCATTTTCACTTCTAACAAAACCATTCTCACAAAAGTAGTTGTACCAAGCTCGCGGTGCTTGCTTAAGCCCATAGAGAGCTTTTCTCAATCTGAGAACTTTATCCTCATGATCATTTTCAACAAAGCCTTTAGGTTGAGAAACATAAACGTCTTCCTCCAAATCTCCATTTAAAAATGCAGACTTCACATCAAATTGAGGCGACTTCCATCAAAATGTGAAAAACAGGAAGAGATATTGAGCAGCGTACAGACAGCAAGATAGATCTGTACAGTTTCAAGAACAGAATAGGCAACTGGTGAGAATGTTTTCCTCGAAGTCGAATACCGGGGGCTCGTTGTTGGGCATACCCCTTCGGCTACAAGCCGTGCTTTATGCTTTTTTGCACACTCCGCCATCAGCCATGGGTCAGGCTTGGTTCTAACCCCCCCATTTGAGGCCGGCGATAAGGCATTCTTCCCTTTAGGCATGTTTACCAAATTGCTCCAGGTCTGATTTTTCTGGAAGTTGAAGTTATCTCTTCATTATGAAGCAAATTTTTTTTTCGCATGTCTTCCATGTGTTTGCGCTTTGCCGCGTCCTCAATAGAAGTATTTGTTGCTGCCTCCTCATAGAATATTGGATCTGAAACATTCAAAGCAAAAGAACAAGTTTCATATATTTCTCTCAAGGATCGGGTCTTCCTTGGAGGAGTTTCAATCGATGAGGAAGAGCTTGAGTTGATTGGACTGGAAGAATTTGAGTTGTTTGGACTTGATGAGTTGCTACTAGTTGAATTTGACGATAAAAAATCAGCAACATCATTTGATGGTGAAGAATCAGCAACATCATTATCTAAAACTGGAGCTTGGTCTAAATTCTTAGCATTTCTCCAATCACATTCTGCATCTTCATTAAAAACCACATTTCTGCTAACAATAATTTTGCCACTTAAAGGATTATATAGACTATATGCCTTGGATTGAGAACAATAGCCAACAAAAATGCATTTTTCAGACTTTTCATCAAGTTTGTGGCGAGATTGAGAATTAATTAAAGCATAGGCTATTTAATTAAGAGCATAGGCTATAAAAGCATAGGCTATACAACCAAAAATTTTTAAGTGACTTACACATGGTTTTCTGCCTCTCCAAGCTTCATATGGTGTTTTATTCATGACAGCCCTTGTTGGAGAAATATTCAAAAGATATACCGCAGTTGCAACGGCTTCAGCCCAGAAAGAATTTGGAAGACCCTTGGCTTTGAGCAAGCTTCTGGCCATCTCCACAACAGTTCGATTCTTTCTCTCGACAATACCATTCTGCTCTGGTGTGTATAGTGTGGTGAGCTCCCTATGAATGCCACATTCTTCACAAAGAATATTAAATTCAATAGAATTAAATTCACCACCTTTGTCCATCCGGAGACATTTGATACGACTGTCCAGCTGATTTTCTACCAAGTTCTTAAATTTCTTGAATGTAACAAGAGCTTCAGATTTACACTTCAAGAAATAAACCCAATTCATACGGCTATAGTCATCAATTAACAATAAAAAATATCGATTACCACCAAATTCATCGAATTGAAGCAAATGAAAAAATATCGATTACGCACCAAATGATTAAGTTTCATGGGTCTCAACACAGTCCCGCATGTATCAAATGTCAGACAACTTCAGTGCCTCCATGATTTGTTCGCTAGCAGGAATGATGTTCTTGACTTTGGGTTTGGCCCCAAACGCATCGCTTTGCACAAAAACTGCAAAGCAGAGTTTGCAATCTTGGGTAAACCCATTAAACGCATATTTTGGCTGACGTCAAAAACTTCAACCCTGCTTTCCATGTTAAAATGCCCATAGAAGCAAATGCCGAACAAATTAGAAGTTGCAATGCAAATTTTACTGAACAGCGAAGAGGCAGTGTTTTTCCATGGAAGCATCTACGTGGAGAACATTTTTGATTTTGAGTCATTGGAAATGTAACAATAGTAATGACCAGTTTTCCTATCTTCACGATACAACGATGAGTTATCATCAATACACAATTCTAGAATACCCACGTAGTCCCATCGAAATTGGCCCAATACTTAACAAATTATAGAGCCAAGCTAGGAAGCAAATTGGCCACATCTTCAAAGAGGTTTAGTGATTACGGGTGCGGTAATTGATGGCATTGTGACCTTTCCCTGTCGCCACTTGAGACTCACCTTATCATCACCCAGCCGGACTGTTGTTTTTTCTGTTTCTCATCAAGCCCTCTTTAAGAGATAATGGCTTTGTTCCTGGAATGGTGATTAGAGCACCGCGACTATCTTAAAAAAACCCCAACAGCATTTGGCAACAGTTTTATCAATCGAAAATGAGCCAATGAAGAAGCGAAATACTCGTCTTCTTCTTCCAAGCAACATCTGGCATGCTTTCGCGCGTGTCATGTCCTTTGCTTTCCTTCATTCCTTTGCTTGGGTCCGGCAATCAAGCTTCTTTGTGGCAAGAGCTTTGTCACAATAATAACATTTGGATTAAATTATCTTGGTATTGTTCGTTGTTCTCGCAGAACGTCCTCCTCTTCGCACGGCGCCGCGTGACCTCGACCACGATTAACCACACGAAATGTGCCCTCTATTTGAAACTTTGTCCATGTGATTTACTGTGGAGGAGGACTCTCCCTGTTTCACTTGAAAAGCTTTTTCTTGCAATTTTTGTTGATGATTTTATTTATCCTGTGCTTTCATGAAAGCTTGCAAAGACCTATTAATCATCAAAAGAATAAGCAGATAAATCTTTTCGACTCCTCTATTGCAGGCGACATATGTCAAATGTTTAGGAGCAGACTTCTCAATAATTTTAAGAACCACAGTCTATCAGTGAATGTTTTTTTGCCATAATGCTCTGCGATTTTGTGAGATAGATTTTAGAAAGCCCTTGATAAAATGGGCTTGAACAGACTCAGAATCACCCATTGTGAAGTGTTCAAATGTTCTACGAAGAGAGTTGAAGTTTTAAGTGATTACCTTTGAGCAGCCTTGAAATTCATTTTCAGAATCTGCCATGCTTCCTTAGAGGTGGCTACTGCTGAAATATGAGAGAAAATCTCATCCGATACAGCTTGTTGAAGGAAGAATAGAGCCTTTGCATCCTTCTTTTTATTTTCTCTAAGCTTTTGCTCATCATTGGGGTCTTCATACCCATTCTCAACTAGCTCTCACAATTCTTGCGAAATAAACATAGTTCGCATTTTTATGGCCCAAAATTCATAACTCTCACCCTTGAAGAGAGGAATTAAGGGTTGAGTTGAAGTAGCAGTGCCATTTACTGCCATTTGAAAGGTTTGCGTGAACCACTCTTCTTTCCCTCACTCTTTTTTTTTTTTTTTAACTCTCCTCTACCTGCCAAAATAATGACTCTGATACCAAAAATATGTTGGTTAATTGAGATAACTAAGAAACCAAAAGCATAGAAGAGAAAGTGGAGCTGTATATTGCATATTAATGAAGAAAAGAACAGAGCCTTTTATAGGCATTACATAACAACTGAACAGAAAAATAGCCTCAAAAATCTGCAACTAATCTATAGCAGATAATCTTTTATTTCCCACTGCTAACAGTAACATAAATCTAGGAACTAAATCAGCAACTAAAGGCTCCACTAACTATTTCCCACTGCTAAGCAGTGAACATAATCTAGGAGACTGAAAAGTCAGGCAACTAAAGGCGTGCCACTAACTTTAATTTTGAATCAAGATCTTAACAAATATTACACGCTATTCACAACCCCACAATAACTACGAACAGCATGAACCCTTTACTTCTTTGTTATCTCCTGTGAAGCTTGAATTGGTTGTTTGTGATGATGGAGGACAACCATTTAGCGGGTTCAGGGTTGGATTCCAGCAAGATTACCATCTGAGTGTTGTTCAGCTTTGAATAATCTCTAGAGCCATTCAGAGGATTGCATAAGCAGATAAGTTGAATGGATCGGCAAGGGGTGGTAAAGCGGGCCATAAGTCGGCTGGTTGCTGTTGGCTTCTCCTCCACTGGGGACGGCAGTGCCCCAATCACGTAAATCTTTGGTAGACTGGAAATGCTATTACCGCTACCGCGCCCACTCCAGTGGATGCAATCTGCTTGGTGCTTCAGAGCTGTCATGTTATTTTTAAATATGGAAGAACGAACTCTTTGAGCCTTCATGGAGTTGAGTCGTCTTTTTCGCAGTTTCACAAAAATGGGAGGCGGAGAAGGATAATTGAAATCAGAAAATCAACCAAAAGAGTGCAGGTGAGATTGTAATTGCCCTGTTTATCATGAGAATCTGGACGGCCATTGTAACGTTTTAGCTAATGTATACAGCTTCTGGTGCGAACAGTATGCTGGCGTATCCGCTTGACTGTATTTTATTGTGAGCATTACCGTCCGCGCCGGCCATATGGCTGCGACACCAGACAGACCACCAAAAAGATAGCTTGGAAGTCATCGAACGCGAATTGTTCGATGAACATTCCCTGTTAATCGTCGCTACGATTCTTCAATATCTGCGCTCCGCCAACCATTTGAGACGACAAAACAGTTTTCAAGAGCCCGTGTTGTGTGTGTCGAATTGTTGAAGATCATGGTTGTCGATTTACGAGGGAAAGCCAATAGTCGTTTATCTTTTGCGTAGCAGATTGGTGTGGCATGGAAAATATTTCTATGCGCATTTTAATGAAGCAAAAGAATTTGGAGATGGAGGTAGTTAAGTTGAGATGACGTGCTTGGGTTATCCCAGTACAGTGATGATAAATCTTTGACAAAGGTAATGCGACTCGTGGTTGCATTGGCAAGAAACGAGTTAGATATGAACTGAAGTTACTTAAAAGGGTGTAGCCATTAGCCGTGAGCGCGAGAAAGAAGGAGGTTTGGATGTGTGCGAGGCTGAAGTAGCTATGTTGGATAGGAAGGTAAAGACGGATAGAAGCTGTGGGGTCGCCGATTGAGACAAGGAAACATGCAAGGGTGTAATTTAGCGCGAATGATTCGAGCAGGTCATGTATGGGTACCTGAGTAGAGCAGAAGGATCTGAGACAGGAAACATGCAAGTGTATTTAGAGCGAATGATTCGAGCAGTCATGTAGGGTACCTGAGTAACAGAAGGATCTTGTTGGGAGGCTTTAGAAGCTGAAGAGGTTTCAGAGTTCATAGGACAGTATTTGGACTGCTGATCGGCATCGCCCTCCCATTTCCGGCGATCCATTGACTGATCTCCAGATGGTGCACCGCTATTTAGGAGAATTAGATCCGTAGGGGTGTAAGGCGACCTGTTTTGGATTGCAATGGTTGAAAGAAGGGGATTGAGAACGAGAAGAAGGTAGAGAACTGCAGTATGCATAGTAGAATTTTCCGTTAGGTTGCTGTTGGTTGAAGTTCAAAATTATAAGAGAATCTTTTCTTGGAAAAATATTTTATTTTATAGAAGTGGAAGAACATTTCTTTATACGGCATAGTTTCTAGCAAATTTTGGAACAAAAAATTGAAATTGGGAGTGCTTCGGCAATTTTCATTCTAACTTATTAATGGGGTTAAGGAAGACCTTACTGGGATTGACTCCCAAATTTAGGACTCAGTCGTATTGAACCGTTCTTTCCACTTTATTTTTATTTTCTAGTTAATTTTATTTCTGCAATTTATTATCTAAATTAGCTTTTCATTTTCTCTCTATCATTTCGGGAGATATTAATTTGCATGTTTAGAGATTTTTCTCTCTATCATAAATTTATTATCTAAATTTAGGCCTTGTGGCCCAGCTGAATTATGATTTATTTTGTTATTTTCTCCGCTATCCCACTGAATAAAATGAATTTTCCTTTTCAGTGTCGTGGAAAAATGTGTTGCTTTCTTGATAGACATCAAAATTTATGAGTGCTATCCATCGATTATTCTGAGCAATAATTCCCTACTGATAACAGAAATTAGTTCACTCGAGCTCTCTTTAGATTGGTGCAGTAAAATTAGAAATTTAAGATTTGAAAATATGTAAGTGTTTAAGGTTTTAAATTATGAACAATTCCTTAAAATTCAAATTAGAAATTTAAGATTTGAAAATATGTAAGTGTTTAAGGTTTTAAATTATGAACAATTCCTTAAAATTCAATGGCTTATTGCGTTCTTTAAATCTTTTTCTTAGTTCAAAATTTTTTTACTTATAGTTTTAAATGAATTTTTACTTGATTTAATTAAAATTTTGAAGTGATATAAGAATAAATATTATGAAATAATTGGCTGAAAAAAAGTTAAATATTTGATGTTCATGCCAATCGCATATGGATATTTACATTATTATTCAATTTATCTCCTTGTAGATTTAGTTTGAAGCATATATATTAAAGATAAGAGAGGTTATTTTCATATTGAAAGGATATGGAAATACTCCTAAGAAAAAAAATCTTAATATATATATTTTTTTTATTTTGCTTCACATAGCTTAATTTCAGCTGTCGCATCTAAAATTATAAATGGAAATAATAAAAATGAGAGTATCACTTGAAAATTCAATGTTTAATTGACTAGTTGGGAAAATTTTTAATGGCCGGTCTATTCTTGTACCAATAATGCAGAAGAAAATGCCATAGACTTGAATGAGTCGGAGTGGAAAAAAATATGACAAGCAATTTTCATGAAGTTGCATTCTTAGGCCCCCTGCTTTAGACAAAAGTTAGTGTTTAATCACTCATTAATATTATAAAAAGTCATTCATTCAAACACGGAGAAGTTAAGAGAAAATGACGAACTCTCATAAAAAAAATTTCATAATATAATTTATGAACCAATCCACACTAAAATTAACTTCTCTATAAACACGAGAGAATTTATCTCTCAATATATCATAGTAAAATAATTCTTCATAAAATTATAATTAAAAATTTGTCAGAGTGAATAGTTTTGAATTTTAATATTTTATATTTCAAAATAGATATTGGATCAGCAACCATCAATAAATTTTTTAAAGCATATTTGTTATACTAGCATGGTCTTGCAATTTTTGGTTATGGTTCTAGATTACTGTGACCATTCTGTTAGGCAGAGCGGTGTCCACTTCACTTAACCATCTGGCTTGGAAGCAGGAACTTCTGTATTGACTGACTTCAGGTCTAGCTTTTACCATTCAACCGCAAATCATGGTCTTAAGGCATATAACAATATTCTGGTGTTTCTGGACAATATTATCTGTTAGGCCTGTATGTGGAATTTAAATTTAGAGATAAAGATGAAGGCGCATAATTTCATTTGGTTAAGTTTCTTTGAAAAGGTTGTAAGATATTTGTATTTCGTGTACTACTTGTCAAAACTCAAAGCATATGAGCAGCCAGTTAAAGATGAAGGCGCATAATTTCATTTGGTTAAGTTTCTTTGAAAAGGTTGTAAGATATTTGTATTTCGTGTACTACTTGTCAAAACTCAAAGCATATGAGCAGCCAGTTCTACATGATCTTGGGCTTTTAATCAAGGCCCACCTTCTCAAACTTCTTTTCGAATGGGCTCTTTTTTTTGGTTGGATTGGTAATACTCGATTTGTTTCAACGGTCGTTGGATTATAAGTTAGAGCCTAATCTGACGGCCCTCAAAAATCAAATTACACTCTACTATTAATCTAAACATGGATTGGAATAACTTTTTGTGAAAAGTTACTGAGCTACTCTTGAGCTATGTTCGGCAATAACTTTTTATAGTGTTCGGTAATATAATGTCTGAACTAGCTTTTAGAGGTTAAAGTAGTATTTTGTGAAAAGTTAACTTATGTAACGTTTGACTTTCAACATTTCATGAAAATCTATTCGAACAACTAAAAGTTAAATAAGCTCAAAATTGTTGAATTGTCTCTAGAAGCTTCCCATGCAATTTTATCGCAACATCTTCTAACAATCTGGAGATTTTCTGCCCATGGAGATAAAGTTTCACAGGATTTAAGAACAATGATGGTATCTTTCCATGAGGAAAGGACTACAAATGTGAGGAAAACTTTGAATGGGTATCTTTCCAGTGAGGAAAAGGACTACAAAATGTGAGGAAAACTTCTGTCCGTTTTGCGAATGAGGTTTCCCCATCTTCAAGTTTGCGGTCACTGCTCTCCAAGAAGTTCTGCTCCACACCTTTAGTGCGCAGACGCTAGATGTTGGTTTAGGTTTTAAGTCTAATGGAAGTCCAGGTAACAAGAACTTTAGAATGGTTTCAAATGTTTCGGTGGCCTTCCTGGGAAGTTTTCGAAAGCTTGAGTGTCATACCCCCAAAATTTTGAAATTGATGGCTGAAGGTTCTGAAGACGGCCTGATAGTAGGCGCACAGGATTTTTGGAAATAGCAGAAGGATACTGTTGCATGGAGAAATGAGATGGTGTTAAGCAAAAAAGATAAGACTTAATTTTATAAATTTTTGTACGTTACTTGGTTATGGTTATGTCTGAATCCACTAGATGTGTGATTTGGTGTTATTGAATGGAACTAGATGGCAAGAAACAATCTTGAGGCATAGCATTTAGTTTGAGTTTTTTATGCAATTTTTAGAGATTTCCAGTATTAGTGTTTTTTATGTGGGGATATAATAGATAGGGGGTAACAGATGTGAAATGAACGAGAAAAGGGGATATATAGATAGGGGGTAAAGATGTGAAATGAACGAGAAAATGTGCGTAAATGAGGAAAATAGTTCCAATTATATACAAGTAGACTCCAAGAAGTTCTGTAACAATTATTATTATGTTTAGCAATGTAAGTTCAACGTCTGGCATATATGTGCAATTACTTGTTTTCTCTTTCCCTTTCTCCTCCCTTCAAGTGGAAATGTTCATTGCTATTTGAGTTATTGACAAAAAAATCCAAAACATTTGTTCAAATTGTAAATCATTGCTGAAACAATAGCAATTATAGCATGCAATTCGTTATGGGAATTGGGAAATCTTCTTTGATGACGTCCAAAAATGCTTCGGCAAAAAAACCTTGTAGTTTTATCCATTTGCTAGTCATTTCTTTAACGTGTCATCTTTGTTGAAATAAGATATGAATTTGAGAAAAAAAACAGTGAGTGTAATTATCAAAATTATTCAATTAATCTCCATAAAATGTTAAGTATTAGAGTATTTAATGTTTTATAAAAAGTGCTTAGTTAATCTTTAAAAGCAACTGTAAAAGTTTTATTACCCAATGGTAGAATTAATAGAGATGAAATTTTAATTTAACTAAAACGCTAAATATTTAGGACTTTGAATGTTGTTTGAATTTAATTTCCATATTTTCCAACTACTTGTAAAGGTTTAGGGGGTATAGGAAATTTGAATTTTTGAAGAGATTTGAATTTTATTTTGAAGAAATAATTATTAAAAATTATTTTGAATTAAATTCAAGAAGTAGAAAGAAAGGGGAAAAAAGAAAGGAAAAAAATTTTAGTAGAACTATGTATGTCTGGCAAAGCGCATGTGAATGTCAAATGCACGAGGGAGAGCGACAGACCAAAAATAGTGCCAACATAGACTTCTCCTTCCTCTTCATTTCTAATAAAATAAAATCACTCTCTGTCATTTGATCAAACACAAGATAAGCCATGGATGGAGCTAATAAAATAAAATCACTCTCTGTCATTTGATCAAACACAAGATAAGCCATGGATGGAGAGATGCTCAAAACGAAATGGGTTGTCATCGTTGCAATTTAGAGCTGTGCATCGTACACCTTCAACATCTAATTTTCCATTCTCAAACCCAATTAAGGCTTGCAACAATAAACATTACTCTTTCTGGTTAAAATTCCTGATTGGGAGTATTCAAAATCTATATATCCAAGTGTGCTTTCAATAAAAAGATTTGAAAATTATATATCAAAAACTTGTGTTTAAGTCCACTTGTAAGCCTTCTTGGCTATCATTGTAGTGGAAAAATAGACCTTGTAAGTTGCAAACAATGCAGAAAGATATTGCAGATGCTTCTAATCATGTAATCCGGAAGCACCGAAAATTGAAGCTCTACATGTCCCTATGTAGCTTCCTTCCACTTTCTATAAGTTCATTGGAAAAGTCTGGACGAGCTCATATGTACGTTGATAGTGATTTTTGCAAATATGCGAAATCACAACAAATAATAAAAAGTGAGTAGAGTATTATTTCCGCGAGAATTGTATACCAAGTACTAAAATTATATTAACCTACTATTATTTAAACGGCAATAAGGAAAATTATTTTAAGAAATTAACTTTAACAAAAAGGATATTGATTGTTAAGAATTAACTTGTACGAATAAAAGAGAATGAAAAGAATAAAGGCAAGGCATTTTGAGTAAAAGAAAACAAGGAATGTAAAAGCTACTGAAGATAAGTTTTGATTCGACTTAATTCTTATCCGAATTTTATTTTATTAGTTTGATATATCAATTTTAATTGTTCAAGTAGAGGAACAACGCCTAAAATTACTAACAAGGCTCTCGCCGATTTAAATTTTGTTTAGGCTATTTTACCCGGTGCTAGATTACCGTATGGCTTCGCAATATGGCGCAATCAAACATGAATTAAATCCATTAAGTTTTTATGGTTTGTTTGTGTGAATTTCACAATCTGAAGGTCGATTAATACTTATGAAACTCCCCATGAGTCAAACGCATATAGCTTCCGCATCAGGTTATTATTTCTGCATGTGATTTATTACGCTTTTTCATATCAAAACCTTCTCCGCGAATAGTGATGTAATGAGAATAGATCAATTCAGGTGGAGACACTATGCTGTCTGGAAGCATTAAGTTCAATAATAATATATAACTTTGAACAAAAGAAAAGCGAATTTAATTGATTATAAATTGTAAAAAGAAGAAGTTAGCTAGCATCAAGGAATTCCCCTAGTATGAGAAATTAGTTCGACATAAGTGTATTATAAATTGTAAAAGAAATTAAGCTACATCAAATTCCTAGTATGAGAATTTAGTTCGACATAGTAATTAAATAAAACTCAATTGAATTTGAGAATAATTCCATAATCAATATGAATGTGAAAAGTAAAAACAAGATTAAGAGTTTAGAGATAAAAACTAGTCAACATATAATTCTGGACAGCTTCCTTGAATCTTCACACAAATCTTGAGCACTTGAAGTCTTGAAGAGAGAGAGAAAAACAATAGAAAAAAG